GTGGCTTCTTTACTGCACTTACAGCTCCCTTTACCACTGGGGTATAAAATGGATTTGAATGAGAAAGAGGGGAACAGAAGGGGAGGGAGAAGGGTGAGAAGAGAGGAGAGGAGAGGAGAAAGGAGGAATGGGTGGTGTGGGGGTGTGCTCCCTTTGTGTAACAGGAGGTCTGCTGCTGCTCTGGCATGGCAATGGAGATGGAGGAGCGGGGTCACTCTCCCTGCTCTCCCTCCCTCTGTCCTTTGACTATAGGCTGGCTGCTCGGTCTCTCCTCCTCATCCTCTCCTCCCTATTAGCATAGCAGCTGCCTGATACGGGGCGTAGGGTGGAGAATGGCCAGGTTGCTGTGTGCATATGTGTGTGAGAGTGTTTTGCAGAGGGAGGGATGTTCAGGGGGGTGAATACAAGGGGGTGAAGAGGGAGTGGGGGGCGGAGGTCCAGTCAATGGCAGTCCGTCTGGCTGGTGAATAGCAGCTAAAGCAGGCCCCTGCAAGATAGACAAAAGAGCCAGGAGGGAGGGGATGAGGTCGGGGTGTGTGTGTGTGAGGGGGGGATAAGGCAGTGAATGAAGCGCCTTGTCACTGGAGCTATGGAAAGAAGCACAGAATGAACTGGAAGAGTGAAAGAAGAGTTCAAAAGGGAGTGGAGGGCAAGGAAAAGACCAGCCCGACCACCTGTCTCTCTGCCTCTCTCTCTTTCTTTTACTCCCCTTCTTACTCACACATAGAGACCAGGGAGAGTAGTGCTGGTGTGTGTGTGTGTGTGTGTGGGGGGGGGGGGGGGTTGCCCAATAGTCATGTTTAGCCACAGACATGTTTTTGTTTTGAAAGAGAAGTGTGGTATCAGCAGAATTTAAAGCTCATGGACATTCGCCTGCATTTGAGTCAGAGCAGGCATCACCACATGGGGCTGAAGTTATTTACATCTGTGAAATAAATGAATACAAATGCACAGAAGATTAACAATGATTTAAGCAGGAAGTGGGAAATTAAACTGTGGAATCGCACAGCTGAGCTATCGTCTCCTGACTGGTGGAAAACTCAAAAATTCTCCATTAACTTTCCGCCCTGCAAAGAAAAGCCTGATTGGTTGCTAAATATGGATTTAACAAAAATGGATAAATAAAATTAAGTCCAAAGGCACAAGGATAGCTTAAAGGTTCTCCATCTGAATTTTACTATCTTGTGTGGAATGGCTCAATTCTTAATTTATGATATTCCAAGAAAAACGAAACTACGGATCGGGTGAAAACGAGTGTTTGGTGGTACTACCTGGTGCTGCAGGTAACCCAGGAAATGCAGGCTCCAACATGTTTTAGGAAAATGACTAACTTGATCTGAGCAGGATGGTGTTCCATCATCAAAGGACACTAAATATATTTAGAATAAATAGTTATATGTAATTCCTCTGTCTGTCTGCTTAAGGTGGTACTGAACACCTTTATCCACGCTTACACAAGCTCTGCCTTTATCATGATTTCCAGAAGAGTCAGTTCATGAAGAATTTGCTATTTTTCAGAATAAAAACATTTTATTTAACAGATAAAATCAGTGCAAACTGTAAAAACAAGGGATCAAAAATGCCAGAAATGGTGGATATCTCTCCCTCCGGGTCGGGTTGAGGATGAGTTTGAGTATCCCGGTAACCTGACATTCCAGCCCTCACCTACGGTCCTGAGATTTTAATCATGATCAAAGGAATCACATCCCAGACACAAGTGATGAGTTCCAAAGAGATGGGATGAGCATCTGGGAGGATCTCCGAGTCGCTCCTCCTCCTCATCAGAACGAGTCGGTCAAGGGTGTTCAGGCATCTGAAGTTCTCCTGATTTCCCTCCTGTGGAGGTTTAGTCCCACTGGGCGGAGAGCCCAGGGCAGACATTAATGACCTTCTGATGAGCTGCTTAGGCGTCAACTGCCAGATGTATGCTGATGACACCGTCATTTTTGTGTCCACAAAAACACCTGGCCTGGCAGGAGAGCGCCTGACGCAGGCTTTATCAGACATCTCAGAATGGCTAGAGCCATCCCACCTAACTCTTAATGTTAAAAAAACTGTCCATGTGCTTCTCCATGAGAAACAGGCCTGATCAGGAACTATTTCAGGTTAGGATTAAAGAGGAAATCATTGAAGTAAGGAGTGATGTGGAGTACCTTGGGATCATCCTAGACATACACTTAAAATTTGACAGTCAGGTTAAGCACGTCTGTAATACGGTTAATACAAATTTAAACTGCTTCCGTTTTATCAGAAGGAACCTGTCACACCAAACTGCTAAACTGTACATGCATGCACTGATCTTTCCCCACTTATCAAATTGCATTACATCATGGTCACAGGCTTCATCCACCACTCTAAAACCTATAGTATTAATATACAAGCAAGCAATAAAAATTATGGACCAGAAACCATTGAAATGGCATCATTGTCGCATTTTAAGGAAACATAATCTTCTCACTTTCAAAAATTTTATTTTTTTAGCACTCTAAGATTCTTTTTCAACTGTCTAAATGATAATTTGTCTAAACTGTTCTCTACTGTGGCCGTCAGACGTAAGAGCTCTCATAGAACGATCACTCGAGCCTCCACCTGCGGTGATTGTCTCGTCCCGCGGTGCAAGACTTCTTTTGGTCAGTCTGCTCTTTCTGTAAAGGGGGCCAAACTTTGGAACTCTCTACCTACTGACCTAAAACTAGAAACGGACAGTAACGTTTTTAACAAAGAACTCAAAAAATTGTTAAAGTCTAAACAATAATGTCTACATGAATAGTTTTAAACTCTTGCATTGCTGCTCAAATTGCCTTGTTTTATTCTTTTTATTCTTTTTTATTGAAAATTTTTTGCAATTTTAATCTGTTTTCTGTTTATTGTTGATCTCTTTGTATTTTATTTAAATGTACTCTACTTTTTAGAAAGGTTCTATGGATAAGTGTTGCAAATTAGCACGTGTGCTAACACACTAAACAATGCATCTGGTTCGTCCAATGTAATTGCTGTGCCCATGTCAAATAAACGTCACTACTACTAACTCACTGGGTTTACAGATCCTCTCTGACCTGTGAACACCTTGGGATCCTACAGGAGGAGACGGATCATCTAAGGATTAAGTGTGATCATGTACCAGTATCAATACCAGTAAATTCTTCATGTTATCTTATAAAACTGTTTTCATCGGCTTGAATCGTGTTGAAGACAAAAGAGCTTCAGTTGTGAGCATTTCTTTTGTAAGTGGGTTTGCACTCAGATTTTGCAAAATGACAAGTGAAGTCCTGCAAGAATAATTAAAGACTTTATTTTTATTTTAAAAACAGGACCGACTGTTCAACGTGTTCCTCTTTGTGTGGCTTTTCATCACTTCCCGTGCTCCGACAGAGTTCCTCTTGAGCGTTACCATCCTGCATGCCTTTCAGCGAAGTCGTTCGTCATACATCATTACTCAACCGGGTGCCAATCAAGTCTAAACCGATGCATCTGCAGGGAAGTCAAAATCTAGATTTCACAATCACAGCTCAAGTTGCCGGACATATGTTGAGCAGCAGAGAAGTCTCCCAGCTAAACAATATTTTGCACACTTTCAGTTGTGTGTCTCAGATCTGAACGGGGGCTGCAAGCACAGTTATGAATATTTTATGAGCTTCTGAACAAAAGTCTTTCAACTCGATGGGAGCTAATCAAATAGATGCACTTGGCTGCAGCTGCTGCAGCACCAACTCACTCCAACTATACCACATATCCATCAGGACGGCCTTAAAACTGATTTTAAGGGTTTTTTTTTAGAGGATTTTCTGGATCTGAAGCCAACTCCTAAACATTTTGTATTAGTTCACCATCTTCACCCTGAGGAACTGGTGTTGTCTGGCTCAGGCAAAAGCAGAACCAAGATGTGTGAGGAAAGCCAAGGCACATGAAGAACCTATTAGGGGGCCTAGCAGCCAGCAGCTACCCTGGGAGGCCAGCCAACCCAGTGTGTGAACAATGGGAACCCAGCTCAACAAAAACATCCTGCAGAAGTGAGGGAGGGAGGGAGAGGCAGGCCAGATAACCCGACTTGGCTGTGACGGCATCAAAACATAGAAAGGACTGTGTTTAAAGGAGCTAACTTTCCTGCTGTTTGCGTCTGACAAAGAAATGCATCAGATCAGCGTGGCTCATGTGCTGAAATGTTGGAGCTGAGGTCACGGGTGGTTCAGCTGCAGCTCAGAGAGCGAGCCCAACAGCTGCTTCCAACCACACACTTTTTTTTCCACATCAGTTAAAAAAACAGAAGTGAGACGGTGCTTCTTTCATCACTTGAATTCACACTACAATGGAGAAAGAAAACACCAACACCTCCCCAAAACCACAAACATTATTTCCATCACATTTGCAACAGAGTGTCGCAACGTGAACCGTCCCAACATGTGCAGTAGCTGTTCTGTTGCTTTTCCCACAACCTTTTTTGGCGTAGCAGAGCGGTATCAGATGCACCTCTGCACGTCCAAACTAGGTGAGCTCCATCCAGATAAATGATTAAGATGCAGCGAGCAGAAACAAAAGAAGCTTATGATTTAGTTTTCTTGATGAAAGGAGTAAAATCACAACAACAAACTTGTTTTTCCTCCAAAATCAGAACTAAAATATCGCTCTTAATGTGAGTTTTTGTGCTTGGAGGCAAGTGAATCACGACAAAAATGCATTTTTAAAAGCTGCAGAGTCAGGAGATTGTTTTGCAAAGTTTCTGAGAAAGTGTGTGTGTGTGCGTGCGTGCGTGGTGTGTGTGTGTGTGTGTGGTAACATAAAACCATCTCTCCCACAACACATACAGAGGGGAGGGGACCCTAATTTAAACTGAGCCTACCCACAATGCACCAGGCTCCTTTATCCTGGCAGTGAAAGGATGAGGCCAGATGAATGACAAAAGGAGAGAGAATCGGGACATGGGCTGTGCCCGACTTGGATGGCAGGGCGGTGGGGAACGTTTCCAGCAGGATTGGGGGGGATCTGAGGAAGAAACACGTCCATACACTGCATATTTGAGTTTAATGATTTCTTTACTGGCTTGTACACAAACGTACAAAAATAATACAGCACTCATCTTCAAGTGACATCATCCTCATCATCACAGTGTTACAAATGTTCAAAAATAAAAGTATACAAAGCAATAAAACAACTCGGACAAGATGGAACATCTGCATCACTCATTAAAGATTCATCTGTCTCCTCCTGCTTGAAATGAAGCAAGACCAGAAACACTCATTTGACCCAAGGAACTCAGCACTTTCTCCCTCTTTTTGTGTAAATTCTTCTTCTTTAGAAAAAAGAAAATCCTCGCACTCACCAATCTGACAGCTGGCTTCTCGCGTCATAAATGTTATGACCTCGTGAGCCAAATAACCACACAAGTGTGCAATTTTAAACCAAGTTACAATGATCTTACCATCAAATGTATTATTCCCCTTTATAAGAACTAAACAGGAAGACAGCACTTCAGAAAAGAAAGTGCCCAGAAAATATCATCATCATCAGCATTGATATATATATATCCATATGTATATATACATACACCCAATCACAGAGACACACACACCTTTGTAGGAAAAAACTTAGTTTTTTTCCTTTGTTGCTGTTTTTTCCACAAAGTGAGACACACATCAGGACACAATCACCTGGAGCATATCTTTATACAATAGGATTTTGTTGTGTCTGTTTACTTTTTTTATTTTTCCTAGTCAGAAAATAAAATGACACATAAAAGCCAACTTCTCAACGACAGCTGTCAGTGCAATTTTCAAAAAGATCAAGTTTAAGAGAGAAAAAAAATGGATGCATAATTTTTAAATTCATCCCCGATTACAAATCTGTGATGGGTACTTTACTTTCTCAGTCTGGATGACCATTTGACACAAAAGACACAGGCCTCATGAGAAGCATGCACACACACCAGCATAATAAAAATACTTTCCCAAAGCTTCTCATGAGTTGAACCAGTGGTCCTGTGACTCTTCCAAACTTCTGTTTGAAGTTTTAAAAAAACTAATAAAAAAATAAAAAACATTACCAAGAAAAGACACATACAAGCAGCATTGTTAAAAATGTTAGGGTGTCATGACTTTCAAAGAGCAGCAGGCAAGTTTACAAAACCTAATTTTTCCTTTTTTTTATTCGTGTGTGTGTGTGTGTGTGTGTGTGTGTGTGTGTGTGTGTGTGTGTGTGTGTGTGTGTGTGTGTGTGTGTGTGTGTGTGTGTGTGTGTGATCCTGCAACAGTCACGTGTGGTTCTGAAGTCTTCATCAGTAGTAGTAGCTATATAATCCAATGCCTTGGCTCCTGAAGTTACCCCATATGAACGCTAGGGGCGCTCAAGGCTCCATGTTTTTGTGCAATAAAACTCCCTGCATTTATAAGTCATGCGATTGAACTCAATTAAATGAACGAACAGACTAAAAATAAAAGTAAAAACAGAGAAACATGCATGAGAGTGGAAAAAAGTGGAAACAAACGAGGGGATGCTTTGCTTGTCAGCACTGGTTTGGTTGTAGTGTCAAAGAAACTTGACCAATCATTGCATCTTCTGCGCAAAAAGTCCCATCTGTGTGCAGAAAGACACCGGCATCCACAGATCTCATCGGACTCCAAACGAGAGAAAGAGCTTGAGAATACTTTATAGTCGAGGTAGCTGGGGAAAGGGCAACCAAACAGAGTCATTTCACCTGGAGGAGGAGGAGAAAGTCCTCTTTTAGGGGTCAATAAGGAAGGAGAAGATGTCTAGATAGAAGTTGCAGGTTTACCTCCTCAGTTTACGAGTCTGAAGCAGCTTGAGTCACTCATTTAATCCTTACACGACTTTTTTTTATTTTTACAACATTTTAAAAATGCATCTTCTCAATGTACCTTCATAAATATGAAAAAAGCTCTGCCTGCTTTCACAGTGATGACTAGGATGTTGTTAGAATACTGAAAGGAGATTATAAAGTGAATCCCAAACAAAATAATAATAATAATCAAAAAATGTTTTGATACAAAGCGAAAGCAGCGGATTTTTTAGTAATACAATGACCACTGGTAAAAAAAAAGTGGTCGCACTGGCCTGAAAAACTGGACGCCAGCATGCTTGCAGAGCCCATTCAGCTATTCTCTCTCTCTCTCTTTTAAAACAAAGTAAAGCTATTGTGTACAGTACTTCACAACAAAGATGGAGTCGGCTGTTGTTACATATTGATTACACATCTGGGAAACAAACTGTGACTGTAATTAAACAACAAAACATCAAAATAAATGAGTGGATGAATGAGTTTTAGGACCTCTGCTAACCAACAGAGGGCAATGCTTCTTCTCTTGTTCAGGGTGTTCCAGCATGCAGCCATGTAGCATCAAGTGCGATGTTTCACATAAAATAACTTAGAATAATATTAGGAGGGAAGCAACAGGTCAAATCTGCGCTCCAGGGATTACAGAAGTGTGTGTATGTGTGTGTGTGGGGGGGGGGGGGGGGGGGGGAAATTCTGGAGTCCAAACACCCGCATGAGGTGGTAAACACAAAGCTGTTTCTTAAGTGGACACACACAAAGAAAGCTTTAGTACCAACAAACTCACCGAAATGAAATAAAAGATTAGTGTTGGATCTCGTGTGTGCGTGTGTGTGTGCGTGTGTGTGAACCATGAGGTGCTTCGCTCAGGAGCGCAGAGATGGGCCCGTTTGGTTAGTGCGCAGGCCAGCTTGTATTGTATATCAAATTTGGCACAGCTAGAGTGTAAATGAGTCTTATTCCTGTGAGAGCCTGACTGTTACGCGTGTTGCGTTGCTGCGGCATGGTTCTTTTAGCCTTTGTTTGAAACTGTTTCTCTTTCTCTTGTTTTACCTGACAGCAGAGACAGATCACCGGGCGCCAGAGGAATACTTGGCCTTGGTGATGAGGTATAGCACAATGTCCTGGTGGCCCCCAAAGGCAGCGATGTGTAAAGCGCTCCACCCTTCCCTGTTGGCCAGTCGGATATCTGCGCCAAACTTCACCAGGAGCTTCACCAGCTCCAAGTTTCCGTCGATGACGGACTGGTGGAGGGCCGTCTGTCCTTCAGGCCCGAAAGAGTTGACGTTAAACTCGCAGTTTGTCATGTTTTGTAGCAAGGAGTGCAGCTCCTTGGTGTTGCCCTTCTTAACCGCCTCCTGGAAAACCCTCTGCGGCGCGGAGCAAGTCGACACGTCCGCCTGGCTCATGGCTGCAGCTCGCAGGAGGGAAGGGGACGAGTAATCCTGCCTGGACTCTAAAGCTAATAATCGTCTCTGGTCTGGTAACAATGCCACAGTTCTATTGGATTATAACCACTTGTTAAGGCACTTTAAGGCACTAAAAATATTTTTGTGTATATCCCAAAAAGGACAAAAGGAAATGACACACCTGGTGTGCAAAAATGTTATTTGAGAGATCGTAAATCCCCTAATACGTTTAAAAGGGGGGCTCTCAAGCGATCCAGGAGGTCTCTGGTGATAGTTTTCCGTCTGTAGCAGCAGGTAGGGCGATGGAGAAGAGACACCTCCGGCTTCACTTTAGACTGGAAGGATCTCCAGACCAGCCGCCTCGTTGTTAGATCCCCGTCCGTTTTCCTTCAGCGGTCCAATCTGCGTCCTGGCTAAATGCCGCCTTTCATGGGGCCAGGTAGTCTGAGGGAGACAGAAATCACAAGAGAAGTCCGCATGAATCCTGATTCCGAACCAGCATTCCGCCGCATCCAAGTGCGAGAGCAGATGGCTCCGTGCGCACGTGTTTTACGCACGGAAACTCCGGCAAAGCATGTGTGAAATCCGCGGACTTACCTGCAACAGACAGATGGACGGGTCCGTGCGGCGACGCGAGGATAAAAAAAAATAAAATAAAAAAAATCCACCGTGCGGCCCGGGATGCGTCCTCCTCCTGCTCGGTGTGAGTCTCTGCCCTGCGCCGTGCTCCGGGGGTGAGATTTTACGCGTCCTTTATTTGCATGACAATACCGTCCCGAAGAATCAACTGTGGAGGAATGGGCGGAGAAAGCGGGGAGGTTAGAGGGAGGGATCAAGACCCTGGGTCTCTCTGGGAGGGAGGCGTGGTGTTCCGAGAGGAGGGGAGCCGGGGTGGGTTGGGGGGGGGGGGGGGGTGTTGGACCAAAAATGTTGTAGGACAAATATTAAACAAGCACCAACAACAACATTGTCTTGATTTCTATTTCTGATGCCCATGTGGAGCGGATAAGGGGGTTGCTGAACTGAGCCGCAGGGTGGATAATCCTCTCAGCAGGAGTCACCAGGTGTTGTTAAAAAATCACTAAAAGATTTACTTAATAACTTGATCCATGACTTCTGAAAAGTGAACCAGATTGACCTTTTCTTTCTTCATTATGCCATGCGCAATCGTCCCTAGACCATCAGCAGTAGCGGAACCTGCTGGAATTATGCGCAACAACGTTGAACCAGTTAACATTTTTGCAGTTTTGTGTTAGCTTTATAAATTCAAACATGCTAAAAATGCTTTTTCCCACTGACCTATCGGACTTTAACTTGGCGTGACTCGTGCGTAATTGTGATCTTTTCGCAGCAAACCCTTAGAATAACGTGTGAACCAAACCCAAACGCTCCGAGCTCCCTGCGTAAAAACATCTCCGAGGAGGAGATTATAGGTGGTTGTTTAAATCATAAACGGCGGATATTGTCCAGTTGTTTTTAAAACGACTAGACCGACTTCAAATAACAAAAGCCCTGAGCTACTTCCTTTCTGCAAGTGAAAAGAGGTGACGCTCTGCGCGGATTGACACGCCGCTCAGCTGCCCCCGCCACCGTGGGAACTGGGCGAGTGTGTGTGTGTGTGAGTGAGAGCGAGAGAGAGAGAGAGAGAGCGAGAGCGAGAGAGCGAGAGAGAGAGAGAGAGAGAGAGAGAGAGAGAGAGAGAGAGAGAGAGAGAGAGAGAGAGAGAGAGAGAGAGACGGAAAAAGGTGGTGAATGATTGCAGCACGGTTAGACAGATTAAGTGTTGAAAACCACCACGGAGGCACATTTCAGACTTCATCTTCTTTCTGTAGCACTTTCTGAGCCGCTATCCGCTCGGATGGTTTGGCGGCTTTCACACTGTCCTCTTTTATTTCAGTCTGAAGTGCACATTTGGCGCACATTTGCTCGCAAACCGCTTTGCACGAATGTGCGAGAGTCTGCAGCAGAGATCCCACAAAACCGGCATCATTCAAACTGCTTGTAAGACAAAAAATAAACACGCGCTTAGCTGTAGAGTCAAAGCAGCACCGCGTTTTGCAGAACATTTTAGGAACTGAAAAATGTACGCAAGAAATGTACAAAGTAAATGGAAATTATTAAAAAATAAAGATGGCTTCACGACGACATGCTGGCTGCGAAGTTATTCCTTCTTGATGTTATACCACTAGAAGCTAGTTAGGTTAAATTATTAAGGACGTATGCGTCCCATTATTTCATTGCAACTGTTTGACATGTGAGTTATTTAAGCTATTTGCAATTTGGTTCTGTCTGCCGTTTGGCCTCTGCAACAAGTGGTCCCGCAGCTCCTGATGCGCAAAAACAAAACCGTCCGCTGACTCATGTGGTGACCTGCAGATGTGCATGTTACATTATCTCATCTGCGATTTGGATTCAAAAAGAAAGAGTTTAAAGTTCAAACTTGGTGATGAAATTTAGACTAAATTGGTTTTTGGAAGCCAAGGAGGGTGTTTTTAGAAATGTATTTTAGATATTTATGCGTCTGAATGGAGCTCCAATTTGACTCAGCAGCAGACAATCCCGAACATACACGTACACGCGCACGCACCTCCCGCTGGATTAAATGAATGGGCATAATCTGCAGAAGGGTAAACGTAGTACATTCTGTAAGACTGAATGCCCAAAGTCCTAAACTCAATTTAAATTGTAAAACTATTATGGAGTTTGATATGATTTCAACTGTTGCACACATGTTTTTGTGACTGATAGTCACAGGATTGTGCAGAACATTTCTCAGAAAATCAGGAACATCTGTCCGCTATCACAGTGCGTCTGAACACTTGGAAAACATTTGTCTGCAGGAGCCAAAAGTTTCTCCACTGGATGACTTTCTCCCCGAATCCCCTCCCCAGCACACACACACAATGACACTACACTGCTGGGTCTTTTTTGTTATACATGCTTGGGACGCAGCCAAGGTAACACTCGTTTAGGGACACAATTATTCCACTTTTTCCATTTTTGTGTTTCTATCGCAGCAGATTTAGACTCAGTTGCGCAAACAGGTGTTATGCCGAGAACAGCCGGCCGGCCGTAAATTGCATCCCCTGCCGCGGGAGCGCGCATTGCGACGGCTTTAAGATATACTCGTACTATTACCATGTTACTTATGCATGTGCATCCTGAAAATTTAATATGTTGTCACAGTTTAATGTAGCTCTGTGAAGCTGACCCCGTCAGCTTCAAAAGTGCAGGCAAATAGGCTGCTCGGTTAGTGCTTCGTTTGTGCTGATTTGTGCAGGTAAAATTGATGTTTGTTCTGCAACGGTTTCTGAGATATTACGAGTTTTATTTTTGCATGATGACATCATCAAATTCCCAAACTGCTCCAAAATGGACCATATTAGTCTACTTTTTAGTGTTTCGTTTGTGCTGATTTGTGCAGGTAAAATTGATGTTTGTTCTGCAACGGTTTCTGAGATATTACGAGTTTTATTTTTGCATGATGACATCATTAAATTCCCAAACTGCTCCAAAATGGACCATATTAGTCTACTTTTTAGTGTTTCGTTTGTGCTGATTTGTGCAGGTAAAATTTATGTTTGTGCTGCAACGGTTTCTGAGATATTACGAGTTTTATTTTTGCAAGATGACATTATTAAATCAAGTCACTTTTGTGCTCTTTTCTTTGTCAGTCTAAAGCAGTGTTTTTCAACCCTGGTCCTCAAGGCACACTGCCCTGCATGTTTTTGTGTTCTCCCTGCCTTAACACGCCCCATTGAGCTGACTGCAGTTCAGCAAAAGCTTGTTAATCAACCATCAATAGAAATCAGCTGTGCTGAAGCAGGGAAAACCTGACAACTCCCTGGATAGTGCGCTTTGAGGACCAGGGTTGAAAAACACTGGTCTAAAGTATATTTGCTTTTCAAACTCAGTCAACTTCACCTCTATAAACTTGAAGGTTATATTTTTCTTTCAAGAAATTTGCCATATTTATTGTGTTGATCTCATTACCAAAGTCATGTTTTACTCAACTTTACAATTTAAGAGTCACTATTCCTCAGCCACAACAAAATTAAATGTATAGCTGCAAAAAAAAAAAAAAAAAAAAAAAAAAAGATTGGATTTGTGAATTTGTACTAAAATAATGTATGTAATGCATGTCCACTAAAATTATTGTCATTTTTTGATTTTGGAAACATGTAATATCTCAGAAACCGTTGCAGCACAAACGATAATTTTACCTGCATAAATCAGCACAAACAAAGCACTAAAAAAGTAGACTAATATGGTCCATTTTGGAGCAGTTAGGGAATTTGATGATATATATATATTCAACTGTGACAACATATTACGTCTTCAGGACGCACATGCATAAGTAACATGGTAATAGTTCGAGTGTATCTTAGCCGTCGCGTTGCTAATATTTTAAGCTGCTTCCTCATCGTTATCAGCGAGTTTACAACAATGCGCGCTCCCGCGGCAGGGGATGCAATTCTCGGCAGGCAGGCTGTTCTCGGCATAACACCTGGCGTGCGCAAAGGCGCATAATGGATATGCAGTTCAGCAATTTTTTTGGCCTAAAACTGACTAAAATCACTCCGATATACAAACAAATTTCTTCATGATCGTGCTTTTTGTGTATGGACATAGGGAAAGAATCTAACTGGAACAGTCCTGCAGACCCGGACAGCTCAGAGCAGCTCGACCCACTGATGTGGCTTCAGGGTCGGGACCAGACGGGGGGAGACTCCAGTCCCGACCCAGAATGCATGTTGGTGAAGAAGAGTCCAAAATGATTCGCAGCACACAAAATGTATAAAAGAAATTAACGTGGTCATCAATGAAAAACAGATCTCCTATGTTGGGATTTACTTCGTGGAAGAAAGAAAGAGAGCGAATGTGTGTGTGTGAGAGAGAGAGGGAGAAAGCGAGAGAACCGACGTTTAACCAGGAGGGCGGGTCCTCTGAATCCAATTCATTCCGGGCACCACGTGTCCTCAGAGCGTGGGAAAGTGGCGAGCTTTTCTTCCCAGCAAAGAAAGAGCATGGATCAGGTAACACGGCGCTGCAGCGCGGAGCTCAGACTCTGCAGAGGCACGGAAATGCGACCACCCGGACCAGGACAGAGGACCAGGAGCTCCACTGTCCGTCAGCTTCAGTCACACTCAGAAAAATCAAATACTGTATAGGAGGAAACCTAATGTAGATGTAGCTGCGCCAGGCGGAAAGCCACGAGCTGTTTCCGGCTGAAGAATTCCGCATCTGTATTATGAGTCAGAGCAGACGGACAGGTCTCATCTCCCCCTCCATCCAGAGCTCAGGGCGTCTTCTGACATCACTCAACATTTTCTCACACCGTCAAGCACGATCTGTGACAGGTCAACTTAAAGCTGCGCATGCGCTCTTCGATGTTCCCCAAGGTGCGCAGAAGGATCAGCTTAAGCATCTGACAGATATTTTTACACAAACTCTTAAGAACGATCATTTAAATGAACACATGAAACAATTTTATAGCAAATGAATGGGTTAGTTAATGCCTAAGTGTTTAAATGCTAAGTTTGACCAACTGACAGCTGAATCAAAAGTGTATTTTCACTTATGGAAGATTTTCTTAGCTTTGGGGGGGGGGGGGGGGGGGGGGGGGGAGCTAAGAAAGAAAATAACAGAAAATCTAAAAACTGTATAGGCTTGGCAGAAAAACATTAACTTACATTTGTAACTAAAATTTTACTGTATTTACATAGTTATTATGAGTAGCTTATCTTATAAAATAACCCAAAAAAACTCTACATTGTTCCCCCCCCCCCCCCCCCCCCCCCCCCCACACACACACACACTAGTGAAACCAATGACAGCAAATGTATTATATCTTCATTTGTAAATACATGGTCACTCCTTTACTAGAATGAATTGTTTTACTGCTGTGTGATGAAAAGTGTGTCTAACACTTTTCCTTAAATCTATAAAAAATTACAAAATAAGCGGTCTCATTTATTGATCTAATATGCATGTTTTTGTTAACCTAGAATTTTGTGTTTTTCCAGTTTTTAGAAGCATTCTGTTGTAACACACATTCCTGTTCACAATTTCAGAATTTGCTTTATTTGTAATGAAATTAATCTTTTCCACCACACTGGTTTCTCATAACTAGAGACACTAATACATGACACTTCTATTTATTCTTGGAAAGTAAAAATCAATAAAGTCAGAAGCAAAATCTTACTATCTAGATTGTGATGAGACATGCATTAATTATTAATAACCTCAATAGTCAAGTTTCCTTCAGCTTTCAGAATTCAGTGGTTGTGCTGCTGAGCTGGAGCAGCATCACGACTACTCTCAAGACTTCCTCCAGCAGCTGTCCAGACTTAAACTCAGAAATTTAACACTAATTCACCTCCATGACTCCGTTCGAACCGTCTGGAAGTCACTGTGGCTTTTTTGATGCATGTCATCAACAAAAGCGAAGGCGCATCTGGCTACAGTTAGAGATCTGTACATTTTTATGGGAGTAGCCTCTGTCGTTTCAGCTGAATTCTTTACTGGGAAACACCAGAAAAAACAGAGCAACCTCATTTTGTAAAACAGAGTGGCATCAGCGAGCTGAGGGGGAGGGGAATGAGAAGACGAGTGGATTTTGTGCTGTTTTGAGACCTGGTGTTACACCTGACAGCTAGCTAATCACCCTCAGTCCCGTGGCGTCGGCTCCGTGAATTACAGAAACATCAGAGAACACACACGGCTCTGTCATCAAATAATGAAACAATTTATTATGAACACAAACAATTAAACTAAAAAAAAGCTCAGGCAGAAAGTGAAAAGATACACAGATCTTAAAAAAGCCAAGAAAGTGTAAAAATAAATCTTAGACGGTTAATGTGTCACCATATTTGACCACAGAGTCTCAACATTTTTCTTTGTTTTGTATTTGAGTTGCTTTGAAATGGCTTTGATCACCGTGGCAAATAAATACAACTTCCTTGTGTGCAATTTAACTGATCTTCTATGCAGTTTAACTGAACTTCTGCTTTTAAAATCCATGACAGAGGAAGCATGGTGGAGCGGGCAGGACTTCCAACTGAACATCAACAGGATTTTTATTCTGGAAACCGTTTAAAAAAGAAACACTCGATCACAGGCTTAAATGACAAAAATGAACAATTCAAACAATCTGATCTGAGCCACAAAGAATCAAGTGGAGTTTATAGTTGGACCTCAACATAAAGATGACTATGTAAGAGATTTCTTGGAGTAAAACCACCGCACCAGATCAGTTTTGGTCTGAAAGTCCGCTCAAACTAAACCGCATTCAAAGAGCAAATTATGGCTCTTCTTTGATGACCTGGAATAAAACCTTTTTAAAGTAAATCAATTCAAAAATGCTAATAAACTAAACAAAAAAAGAAACACATACCAGCAAAAACACTTGGGAGACTCAAACCCTGAGCTGAAAATCAACGTTTTACTGTTTTTCATCTAGCAGGTAAACACATTCAGCACTAAAAGGCAAATCCTTTAACTCGTGATGAGACGTCTAATTCCTGGTTTATGTGCCTAGAACTGCACATGGAAATGAATGTAAAGGACAGTTTAATAAAAGAAAAGGTAAAAAGACAGAAATCCATCAGAATTTGCCTTTTGAAGCTAAGTGAGAGCTGGTGGAGACTCATTGTTTGTACAAACAGGATTTAGGCTGCAGAGCGCTGATATCTGTATGGCAACCCTTCACGCTTGAGCTTACCTGCAGGGTTGTTTTAGACTCAAGCACATAGCAGCTGTAGATCAGCCGCTGAGCGTAAAAGACTCCTTTGCGAGGACTTTGTCCTCGTCTGTTAGGTGTAGAACCTCCCGAAACAAGGAGAGGACGCGGCTAAAATGCGAGCCTTCCCAGAACACCTTGCCACATCTGGTGCAGACATAGAACAGCGGTATCCTCTGCAGCAGGGCGGGGGGCACGGTGTGCAGCTGAATGGGCGACCCCCCGGGAAAGGTCAGGGTGTCGCGGTCCAGTCCTGAAAGGGAGGCCCAGCGACACTGAGCGGCATACCTGGGGGGTTCAGGAGTCACGGCGGGGGTCAAAGTGTCATCAAGCTCTTGCTCTTCCTGTTGACAGAATTTCTCAAGCGTGGGGTCGCCGCTGTCCTGCAGATATCCTGTGGGCAAAACATAAAATCATCCAGAAATAAATGACTGACAGCATGAAAGAAAAACTTGCTGACGAAGCCCCTGAAAATGAAAACGAGTATTTTATGTAACTGATACAAAGCAGCAGACACACCTTTCTCTTTCAGCAACCTGATCATGTCGGCTCGAGGGACTTCCACATACTGATCGCTGTTACATGCCTGCAGAAACAGAAAAACACTCACTAGAGATGGGGAAAACAGCTGTTTCAGCCTTCAGAGGAATTTGATCTTTTACAGTTTTTCTCCTTTAAATGTTGAATATTTGAGACATAAATGTGGATTCAGCTTCGTTTCAAATTAATCTAACATTTTCAATCAAGTTTAAATGAAATTATAGCAACATTTTTGGTTCAAACAGAGTTTTCTTCCAATATCAAATACAAATATGAAGTTTTTTTTATTCACACAAATTCATTTAAAGTTTGCTCATAGCTTATTTTTCAAACAAAGCACTCAATATACTAAAGCAGGAGTAAATGTAAACAATAAAACAAAAATAATAAAATAAAATAATAAATCACATTAACATTTTGAGTTTACTATAAATGCATGCTGTGGAAAATATTAGATAAAGTCATCAAATTAGAAAGCTTTGTGTAAGGATTAAAAATAATTTGTGTAATTGATTCACATTTATTTTTGTTTATTAAGCCACAATGAGATTAATAATTATATCAATGATAAAATGATCAGACTAAAACAAAAAAAACTGTTTGCCTTCTCCTCTAGCAATAAAAAATAATCAATAAAACACAACAAACATATTTTAGAACTGCAACAAGCAGTGTGACTTTCACCAAAGAGCTAGAGTTAATTCTAGAGAAAATACTGATAAAACCATAGAAAATACTATGCTCAGCATAAATGAGTACACCCCTTTAAAAAGTAGGATTTCATCAGGAGCTCAATGAACAAAAGAACAATTTCCAGAATTTTCACAAGGCTGGGTTTTATTGAACACTTGTTTAACTCGATAACATGAAATTAAGGTTAATAATATAACTTAGATCACAAAATCTTCTGTTTCACTAAAATTGGCTTTAGCAAAAATGAATACACCCCACAGAAATACTACTACATCTAGTATTTTGTATGACCACCATGATTTTCAAGGACAGCTCCAAGTCTTCTAGACATGGAATGAACAAGTTGGCAACATATTGCAACATCTATCTGTTTTTATTCTTCAAGAAGAACCTCTTTTAGAGCCTGGATGCTGGATGGAGACTGATGCTCAACTTGCTGCTTCAGATTTCTCCACAGGTGTTGGACTGGGTTCAGATCACGAGACATACTTGGCCATTCAATCACCTTCACCCTGTTGTCCTTCAGAAATCCAACAGTAGATTTAGATGTGTGTTTGGATCATTGTCATGGTGGAAAAGTGCACGACAACCATGGAGTGACAGCAGCATCTTCTCCTTCAGTATAGAGCAGACATTGTTGAGTTCATGATACCATCAATGAAATGCAGCTCCCCAACACCAGCAGCACTCATGCAGCCCCACATATGGACACCGCCACCACCATGCTTCACTGTAGGCACCATGCATTTCTCTCTGAAATCCTCACCTTTAGGACGCCATACAGTTTCGAAACCACTAGTTCCAAAAATGGTGATCTTTGTCTCATCACTCCAGAGTATAGAGTCCCAGGAGTCTTTATCTCTTTCAGCGTGAGCCCTAGCTAATCCTGGGTAGCTTTTTTTGTGCACGGGCTTTAGGAGAGGCTTCCTTCGTGGACGATACCCATGCATGCCATTCCTCTGCAGTGTGCACTGTATGGTGTCACGGGAAACGGTCACCCCAGTTTGGCTTTCTACTGCTGTAGCCACCTGCAGTGAATTTGCATGGTGATTTTCTTCAACCCTTCTCATCAGAAGATGCGTCTGTCGAGATGTAAAGTTCCATGGACGGCCTGGACGTCTCCGTAAGATGGTTGCATTTCCATCTTTCTTAAATTATTGGATCACTTTTGCTACAGTATTCTGACTGATATGTGAGACTTTGCTGATCTTCTTGTAGCCCTCACCTTTATTGTGTAAAGAAATGATTTCCTTCCTCAGATTTTGTGACATTTCTCTTCCATGTGGAGCCATTGCTGACAGCATGAACTGGGAAGGGCTTTTCTTGTGAAGTGATGCCCTTTTATAGTCACCTGTCTGCTGGACACCTCTTACATGAATCATTAGACTCACCTGTGGTTGAATACCTGTTCATTTGAATTTTGTAGTCTTAAGTATGGCTTTCTCCAAAGACTATAATTGGGTTGCACTCATTTTTGCAACAAGAGCTTGAATGGATTTGTTAAGAAAATCACTTTTTTTGTGTTTGCAATCAGTGGCATGTGACATTTGTGGAAGTATTAAGTAGTTTGGTATCTCATAGAGAAGTTGAGTTGATTCTGAAAGTAAACTAAAGGTTTTCTGACAAATGTAGCGGGTGTACTCATTTATGCTGAACACTGTGTTCTACAACGTGAGTCATTTCCAACTTTTTAAACCAGAGAATAAAAGAAAAGAAAGAAAAGATTCAACATTTCTCCCATCAAAAATTCTTTATTCAAGTAAATTATTTAATATGAAATTTTATTCACAGTTTTAGAAGTTTCTGCTAAAGAAGCAAAAAGTCATATTAAATAAGATTAGGTGCAATGGCGGCGGTATAGACAACAGCGGCATCCTGACCAATCACAAGCTTGCTATCTCCGTCTTGACGGACGGATGTTTAAAAAGGTGGGCTCGACTCTGTACGTACTTGCGTGCCTGCTGGGGCTCTACGCAAGGAGTCATAATGGCGTTGCGTGTCTCAGCACTGACGAAGACGGAGAAGCATGACTCGGGATTAAGTGTTAATCAAAGCTCCAATCTCTGTGTGTGTGTGTGTGCGTGCGTGCGTGTGTGTGTGTGTGTGTGTGTGTGTGTGTGTGTGTGTGTGTGTGTGTGTGTGTGACACAGCGTTTACACCTCAGTACTTCTCACACGTCCTTGCTGCCCTGTGCTCCTTGGTGGTAAAGGCCTCCCTGGTGGGACATTAGTGAGCTCTTGCTTGCTGGCCCCTAACATGGACACACACTCATCTGTGAGCCGTTCTAACAGAGCGTCAATGCTAAAAGCCTCGTCAACACACCTGAGCTCCACCCAGTAAACAGACGGCTGTAAATCAATTCTCACCCACAAGAAGAGATCCTGGATTAAGCCTCGTCACTCTTTACCTGGAGAACACCGGGAGGGAGTCAGGAGCCTACACCCACCCTACACAAAAGCAGTTGCCCTCCTCTGTGTGCAATGTTTGCCTCTGTGGTAACTGAGGTCAGGACACGGGAAAGCAGAGGGAGACTGTGGAGGTGTGGGAACAGCAGAGGTGTCTTGTCTGTGTGAGTGAAGCTCATCTGTCTATCCCTCACTAAAAGTTGCAGTCTCCTCTGTAATCTGCCTCACATCAAACACACAAAAACAGAAGCACAGAGACAAAACATTTTACAGTTTTGCTATGCAGCAGCGCAAAAAAACATTCTGAGGCTTGTGTGTACGAGTGTGGCAGCGACGGGCAGAAAAACAGAGCGAGCTATTTGCTCAGCTCAAAGTTTCCCAGATTCGAGCATGCCAGAACCTGCTGTGAACTCTCAAGGCTATAAGGAACAGACAGGCATAGAGACACACACACGCAACCAGAAAGACAGCAACTATCACTTTTAAAAACATGGCACTAATATCAGAAATTTCCTGCAGAAATCTACTGAATAAATAAGTCATTGAGATCAACCATAAACTGTCTCCCCTGTATTGTGATATATTTATCATATTGCTAGATTCTTGCCAATAAACACCCCAAATGTAAGATCCATCTGTTTTCAGTTGCTAATCTGGAGTCGGGTCGCGGGGGCAGCAGCCTAAGCCGAGAGGCCCAGGCTTACTTCTCCACAGCCACTTGGGCCAGCTCCTCCGGGGGAATCCCAAGGTGTTCCTTGACCAGCCGAGGTACATAGTCTCTCCAGCGTGTCCTGGATCATCCCTTGGGTCTCCTCCCAGTTGGATGTGACCGGAAAACCTCACCAGGGAGGCATTCAGGAGGCATCCTGACCCAAATATAAGAATTATATAAAAGTCTAATATATTATTATTATATACTTGCATCACACACTTCTGAGATGATTAATCATATGACCAAACAATTACACATTATCACCCCCCCTTCTGAAACTGCCACAAACGGCTACTAGAGGGAAATAAATATTGTTTGTTAATATCGGCACAGTTTTACATATTGGACCCATATTGAACCTTTGAAGTTTGGGTGAAATTATCTTTAAGGTACAAAGAGGTGTTGACTGCTGCTGGTATTGGTTTCTACTTGTGACTGTTTAGCACCCTGCTTTGGACCAAATCATAACCACCTTTGAGTTATTTACATTTAGTTTGTGTTATTATTATCAGCTTAGTGAGGTTAGCTCATCTGAATAAGTAAAAATGGAGCTCATATGTTAAGTACATGAGAGTAAAGGTTCTGGAAGTCCTTGGTCCGTTGGTTGGTGCTAACCATGTTTCAGGTGAAGGTTCTACTAGTGGGTGTGATGGGTGGAAGCAAACAGCTCATACAAGTTCATGAGGAACTGGTGTATTATACAGGCTGCATGATTTAATTTTTTTAAAAGTCGACTGTCAAGTAATGAAAATCGAGTCGACTTCGACTAGTCGGTGATGACGTCATGCACGTCGGGGGTGGGGGTTGGTTTGCTGGAGTTTTTGACAATTAAAATTGCGCCCACATTATCTAAGTTAAACACATCTCTTTTAACAACGGTAGTTTCTGCATCTTGCTTCAGACACACACACACACACACACACACACACACACACACACACACACACACACACACACACACACACACACACACACACACACACACACACATAGATAGAAAACTGTGAAAGTTGGCTTACTTAACATTTTTGTTGTTTTTCTAACATTTAACTTAGATATAGAAATAAAAAATTTATTCAGTTCTGCTTAACAAAATTGTCCTACTCTATCATTTGTTCTGGTTTTTCCTCCTGCATCGTCACTGAATGTTTCTCGCCGTGACAACAAAGACTGTCTAATGTGTGATACTGAGTTTCAAATCATGGGGAGGTGGTGGAAAAAGAGGAGAGGAGGAAG